AGACAGCGGCGAGGCGGGGTCGGGGGAGACGGCGGCGAGGCAGGTCGAGGAAGACGGTGGCGAGCTGGGTCGGGGGAGACGGCGGTGATGCAGGGTCGGGGGAGACGGCCGCGAGGCGGGGTCGGGGGAGACGGCCGCGAGGCAGAGGCGACGAGGGGGAGAAGAGAGAGTGAGGAATTGGGGAAGGAAGCCGAGGAGAGGGAATCAGGCCGCGCGGGGGTTAGGTGAGAATAGCTTTAACAGTAGCGTGGGGAGGAAAAACGCGCTGCTGCTAAAATCCGTAGTAGTAGCGCCGTTTCTAGAAGGGCGCTACTACTATACCTAGCACGTCGGGACCGGTGTGGCAATTGTAGTAGTAGCGCGTTCTGTTCCTACCGCGCTACTGCTAAGGGGTAACAGTAGCGCGGTTTAGCCAGACGCGCTACTGCTAAGTACCAGCAGCGCCTCATTTTAACAAGCGCTACTGGTAAGATTCTGTGTATAAGGTTTTCCCTAGTAGTGTTAATCTAGGACTCCCTTAGCGCTTGCTGATGGACCAGGGTGGGAGCTCCTCCTCGACGGCACCCACAAGCTCGTGGGTCGGCAATTCTTCCTTTGCGGCGGCCCGATGCCACCCTGCCTGCTCTCTACCATCGACGGCGAGGCGGCAACGCGAACTACGACGCCCGACACCTCCAGCAACGGGCCCTGCTAGGAGCCGCTGGGTGCTGGTGCCCGCACTCCCTAGCACACCGGCGCAGTAGCAGCAACGAAAGACAGTGGGACGCCCCTACCGCCATGTAATGAAGGCGGCAGCACAGGGCGGAGCGCGACACGACTGCGGGTCATCCAGATCCTTGCCGTAGCCGCCGCCGTCCGCCGAGGACGACGATGCAACGCTCCATCTTGTAATCCGTCAGTCCTACACCTCGGCGGAGACAGATGCCTGCCGCCGCCGCCGCCTCAAGAACGCGGCGGCTCTCCGTCGCGCACTCGAGGAGTCGGCGAAGGTGGCACAGTCGAAGGAGGTGGCGATGGAGAGAGCCGCCCGACTCGCAGTAGAGGAGAACCGCGCCGCCCGACGCTTCGCGGGCTTCCTTAGCTCGTCCTCGTCCTCCGGCTCTGACAATGACAACGACAGTATGATAAGCCGCCCACCACGGATGCGGGCGCCGGGGACAACCACCGAGACTGCAAGGGGAAGTGACCGGCGAGGGAGTGGTGAACTCTGCATTTATATATACTCCCTCCGTTCCAAAATAAATGACTTAACTTTGTACTAACTTTAGTACAAAATTGAGTCATCTATTTTGAAACGGAGGGAGTAGGTTTTTTAACATTTATAATCAGCTAAAATTTAAACTGTTTCGGCCCGTTTGTATGAACTATGTGGATGACCGACGTCGGAAGTGCTAAGTTTTATGCTATATCGTACTATAATCGACGTAATTTGCATGGGTTTGTGTCTTTGTGAAGTGAGGAAAATGGCAGCTGTCCATGCATCGTCAGCGAGCGCGCCCGGACACACCTCACAGTTCATTTTGTGGGGGCGTTGATTCGTGATCCAACGGCAACACACTCTACGCTCTACACATCTCGGTACCGGCCGCAGCTCATCCTAGTACAGCTCGCACCCGCCGCGTCCGGCACCTGCTCCGGCGACTCTCACCGCCGGCCCGATGGCCCCTCGCCCCGCACCCATTCCGGCATGGTCAAGCTCCTCTCCGACCTCCTCCACGACGTCCCGCCCGCGCCCTGCACCGGCCTCGCCCGCCGCCGCCCACGTCTCCTCTCGCTCCTCCCGCTCCTGCCCCCCTACACCGTCTCCCCGCACTGGCTCTCCCTCCCCGCGCTTTCGGTCCTATTCCCACGCCGTCCGTCTCTCCATCTTCCCCGCAGGCCGCATCGCTCCGAACCAGTATGCGGCTTCCCACATATGACATATCGTTCCCCCTTGCTCAGTTTCGTCAGCTCACCCTTGCCCGTGTCCTGTTCGATGAAATGCCGCAGTCTGGTGTTCGCCTGGATGAGTATGCTTACCGGGCTGGGATTCGGGTTTACTGCGAGGCAGGGAATCTCACGGCGCCGAGATGCTCGCGGGGAGGATTGGGGGTCAAGGTCAGCATTGTGGCGTATGTACTGCTGTATGGATTGTGCAAGAATCAACGCATTCAGAAGGCAGCGGAGCCGCGGAGGTAAAGAATAACATGGCGGTGACTGGTGAGGAGTTGCAGCTGATGAAATGACTTACCCGGAGCTGCTGTATGGGTTTTGTTGGACGGAGGAGCTGTAAATGACATTGAGAATGGCATGCCCAGGCTTGCTTTCGTGCCATCATCAGAGGTCAATTGCTCATTTATGCTTGATGGGCTAAGAAAGAGGAGGGAGGTTGAGGAGGCTTTCAGGTTAGCTTCTTAGTTGAGCGAGTTCGGTATGGCGATGAACATATTTGCGTGCAATGCATTGCCTGATAACCTGTTCAAGAACGGTATGTTTGGTGGGGCAGACAGGCTTTTCAGTGAGATGTTAGACAGGGGTCTGGTGCCAAATGAGGTGACTTATCCTATATGGCACATGCACTTTGCAAAAGGGGCATGGTGGAGGATACGCTTCATATGTTTCATAGGTTGCGGGAGAAGGGAGTCAGACTGACCGTTTATGCGTACATTTCCGTAATTAATGATTGCTACAAAACAGGAGGATTTGGACATGGCAGACGGACTTTCTGGGGGAGATAGCTAAGATAGGAGTGACACTGAATGTAGCTTCATATTCTCCACTCATTGCTGGTCTCGGTAGAGAAGGGGGTATGTCCAGTGCCATGAAACTCCGCCGGGAGACGGCTGAGAAGGGTGTTTGATGGACTACTTATACTGCATGGATTCTGCAGAGAAGGAAGATTGAGCGAAACATACGATGTTTGGAATGAGTGGCAATGTGGGGAGTCAAGCTTGATCTTGTCAGCTTTATCATTATTGTGTATGCAGCTTTGAAACATCATGATACAGAAAAATCATGCGTATTACTGAGGGATATGAAATGAAAAAGTGTGATGCCAGACAATGTTTTCCATACATGCATGATTGACATGCACTCAGAAGAAGGAATTATGGTTAATGCATTAAACTGTTGAGATAAGATGATTCTGGTAAATAATTCTGCAATTCAGGGCATTTGAGCAGCGCAGAGCTCCTTTGTAAATAAATGTTAGCCAGTCACTTCCTTCCTAACATTTATACTTATAATTGTTTTCTTGATTAATTTACAACTGAAGGGAACCTGACAAAGCTAAAGATCTCTATTTTGCTAACATGGTTTCAAAAATCTTTGAAATTTTTGAGAAGCCATGTAATATGCTGAAAATTACTATTGCCATAATGTTATTGTAGAACACGCAGATTTGACATTTTACATTTGTCTGATACAGTTGCAAATAAAATAGCTCCGATAATAAATGCTAACTGAAGCAACATATGCAACTTCTATTATTGCAGGATCATATCATTCTAGCTCGAATGTCTTGAGCCGAGGCTCCCCTTTTGCTCCATGTTCCCCAATACGCTTACCAGCAAATAGGAGATATGCATCTCTGATTGCATGCATCTCTGCTGCTGCATTTCTTATCAACGTCCGCTCTCGAGGCTGTGCCTTTGAGCAGGATATGCCAAGCCTGAAGACAGAAAGCAAGCACTCCTGGATTCTACTACTGGTAATATCATCCTTTGGTTCTCCATGCAGCCAGATTGTTGGGTCAGCTATCTCCAAGGTTCTGTCAGGAAGAGCATCCTCGACAAATTTATGCAGATCCAGTGAATCCCCAAATGTTTCATCTATTGGGCTTCTTCCAGTAAACATCTCAAGCAGTAATATGCCAAGACTATAAATATCACCATGAGTGGATACCACAGAGCCTTCTCCATACTCTACAGTTATGCAAAGTTTTGTGGTTAGCATGCCATATTTGAGTGAAAAGTAAAAGATACTAATATTCAAGAATTTCAGTCACCTGGAGCAACATAGCCTATGGAGCCTCTTATTCCAATTGAGCTATATGAATTTTGCATTCCCCCGCTTGTATTTTCTTGAAGGATCCTTGATATGCCAAAGTCTCCAACTCGGGCGCTCATGTTGTCAGAAAGAAGAATGTTGCTTGGCTTAAGGTCGCAATGGATTACCGATGGTTGACAGTAGTTGTGCAGATATTCTACTGCGTCCACAATATCGACACCAATATCAAGTCTCTGGGCAAGGCTGAGTGTGTTGCTTGTAGTGGGCTCTTGAGATTTTGGATGAAGCCAACCAGCCAAGTTACCGTTGGGCATGAACTCAAAAATCAATGCCTTGAACTCTTGACCTTGCTGGTTGATGCTTGAACAAGAGGTAATGATCTTAACGAGACAACGGTGCCGTATCCTTCTCATGGCTTCACATTCAGTCTCAAAACTCTTGGAATACCTAGATTGACCAAGATTAAACACCTTGACAGCCCATGTTCTTTCCTCATTGTCCAAGACACACTTATAAACCGCTCCATAACTTCCTCTCCCAAGTAAGTTGACTTCTGAAAATTCATTAGTTCCTCTCAATAATACTTGATAGGGAATTCTCTGGTAATGGTCATCAACAATTAAATTTTGTGATAATGTCTTGTGGCTTTGTTTGAGCCTCTTGCAAAGTATCCAAACAAGAAGAATAAGTGAAAGTGACAACAAGATTGCTCCGGCTGTTGCTAGAGAAATTACAAGAGACTTTTGCATCTTCTTTTTGTTCTTGCTTAAGGGGCTTATGGAGCATGGAGCCAAATGAAGTTGAGGTGTACCTCCACACAAATTGGCATTCCCATCAACTGCTAAGTAAGTGATGTTTCTGAAAACACCTTCATTTGGCACCTCGCCTTGCAAATTATTGAAGGATACATCCAATTTAAATAATAATGTCAAGTTCTGTAGAGCTACTGGTATTGACCCTGACAAGTTATTGTGTGCTAGGTACAGTTCCTGCAGGTTTCCAATGCTAGCAAGGGCATCAGGAATATCACCAGATAACTTATTCATGGTCAGGTTCAGTATACTGAGCCCCTTTATATTCTTCAGTGACTGAGGTATGCTTCCCTCAAAGGAATTATTGTCTAATGATAGCCATTGCAACACTACGCAGTTCTGAATACTGTCGGGTATCTTGCCAGATAACTGGTTTCCTGCTAGAATTAGTATGTTAAGGTTTGCCAAGCTACCAACATCATTAGGAATGGGCCCAGAAAATGAATTGTATGACAAGTCCAAGTACCAAGATAGGCTGGATAATCTAAAAATATCTCTGGGAATCGAACCGTTAAGTTTGTGATTCTTTGACAAGTCAAGTACAAAGAGGTTTTTCAACTGCCCCATGCTTGTCGGAATTGGTCCCTCCAATTTGTTGTTGTATGCATAAAACCTATTTAATTGTGAAAGATTTCCCAAAGATGCCGGTATGAGGCCAGACAACGTATTATTGTACAAGCCCAGCTCAATCAAGTTCTCTAGCTTACCAATGCTATCCGGAATCACTCCTGATATGGAAGTATTTGCTATTAGCACCACGTTGAGACCAACCAGATTGCCAATATCTGCGGGTATACTCCCAAAGATCCTAGTGTCGTCTAAGTATAACTGTTGGAGACTTGTCGAGAGGTTTACAATTGAACCTGGTAGTTGTCCTCCAAAGGAATTGTTGCTGAGTATCAATTTCTGCAGTTGGCTGCAGTTTGCCAAAGAAGTGATGAATTCCCACCCCTTGTTGTCGTTCGCTTCAAGCTTATTGTCAGCCAAGTTCAGATATTGGAGTGCCCCCATCTTCCCCAATGTGGGAGGCACATACCCACTAAACCCATTCTGCACAAGGCCAAGTGCTACGAGGGAAGAAATGTTTGATACTGAGGAGGGGATGGTTCCTGTGAAGTGATTTCCACCCAAGGCAAGAGTTTTCATCATGGGGAACTTGCTTCCGATATCATCCGGAATGCTTCCGTACAGCATATTTACCCCTACATTAAGTACTTCCAGAGTTGACAAGTTGTAGAGAGAATCTGGAAGCATACCAGAGAGGTTGTTTCTGACGACAGTGAACTGCCGCATGTTGTGGAGGGTGCCGAGCCCTGGCGGGATTGAGCCCATGAGTTGGTTAAGGCCGAGATCAAGGTTTTGCAGATAGGACAGATTGGCCAGCGATGCCGGGATGGGCCCTGTGAAGCTGTTGTTTCTCAGCGAGACTACTTCCAGTGACGCGAGCTTGTCCCCGAGCTCGGTTGGGATGCGCCCGCCAAGCTTGTTGTTGCGCAGTCTCATCTCGGTCATGCTGACGCAGGAGCTCAGGTTCACAGGGAACGTGCTGGAGAAGCAGTTGTCGCTCAAGTCGAGTCTCCGCAGTCGATGGAGCCGGCCAAGGCTTGCTGGAATCTCCCCATGGAACCAGTTGAAGCTCAGGTTGAGCGTCCGCAGAAACGTGAGGTTCCCGAGGGCTGGGGAGAGCGCTCCGACGAGCGCCCTGCCATCCAAGCGCAGCGCCACCGCCCGCTTCGGCATCCAGCGGCCGCACGTTACACCCTCCCAGCTGCAGAAGCCGGCGCTGCTGTTCCAGGAGGCCAGCGCGCCGCCGTCGCTGATCTGCTCTCTGAAAGCAAGCAGCGCGACCTCGTCGCTGGCGCTCACCACTGCGATCGTCAGAGCGAGCACTAGTGACCACGGCAAGCTCATGATCCCCATTGCCATGCCCATACTGGTTCGGTGTTTCCAAGTATGGGTCTCCAAATAGCAGTTTCTCCCTCTTCAGATATAACCTGATCTGGTCATACGTGCCTGTGCCTTTGCCTCCTTGCATTTATTTATTCGTCTGAAAGCATAGTGCTAAAATTTCAACGGCTCCTTCACCGCTCGGCTGACTTTGAGGAAATGATGTAGACCTTCAGTCCTCTTTTTGACAAACCTGCATGATTGCTTCTCGGGAGTTGACAACCATCTGTGCGTCGAATTGATCAGCGATGACCACGACGAGCCGACGACAGCCTAACGGTGTCGCACAGGGATTGAGCTGAAGATGCTCGGGGCCGAAGTCGAAAACCGTTGTAACTACGGTATTCCTGAGCAGTTCGAGAGTCCGACGGACAGGAAGATGATGTGTCCTTGGACTGTCTCGTTCCTTCAGAGCTTTTTCTAAATCAAAAC